GTGCACTTTGTGGAACTATGTAGAAAAAAAGTGGGAATAAATAGCTACAAATACTTAAGTTGCACACTTAGAAATCAAATATGCTTACACATTTAGATAGTTACACTTCTTTTAAAGGGAGTAGTTAAATTAGCAATGTTCCCTTTTTTATATGTGGTCGGGGGCAGGACAGTAGGAAGCTATGCAGCTCCCTAAGGGTCAAAGAGCAGGCTGGGAACAGAATGAAGCTACTACTCTTACTACTGGATTTCATCAACCATGAGTTAATCACACTGAACCAGTCTAGACTACAACTTCTTCATCTAAAGAGGAGGGGAGTGTGTCATTTTCCCTCCTCAGAGTAACTGAGAATTAACTAATATCAAAACACAATGTTCTTTAGATAAAAGACATTATGAACACATGCAATGTTTTTATAGAGGGAGTCTAGTCACACCCTCTATAAAGTGCCTACTGCACATTACTGATTTTATTTTCACACACAGTAAGACTGCTCACACATTTTAGTTTCTCACAATTATATAAATAATATAATTAATTCATCCATTAAAACATCTATTGAGTATTACTGTGCTGTTTATTTATAACTTTAATCATAAGATACCTACAAGTGTAGTTATATTGTAAACTCATGAATTCAATGTGTTGCAAGTAATTTCCAAACTACAAAGTTGGATTTGTGTTTTCAAATTAGCATTTTCCCTCTTCTAGATCTGAAGTTACCAATGACTTGGTGATTTTTTTTTTAAGAGTACAGTATAGAACTCAAATAAATTTTAGAACATTTGTTTAAAACCCAGTGTGAGCAACTGAAAGCAGAATCATATCACATTAATCTCATTTAAAACCGTGTTTCATCTTATGGGATCCCCAGAAATGGCTTAGGTTGAACCCCAATACAAGGATCTGGGTTGCTCAAATACTTTTTATAGTTCTCAACTTTGGTCCTACCAGAAGTTGTTAGGAAGAAAGAAGAGGGTATGAGTACTGTGACTAATGCTAGATGCAGGTGCACTGTAAATGTATAATTAAGCTCCAGTTATATAAGATGCTTTGTCTCTCCAGACCTAAGTTTTATCATCTACAAATGGGGATAACAGGAAACTCTCACACAGGTCTTCCAAGAAGCACCACTTTAACAGTAAACACGTGGTAAGTCATGATGCACATCATGCAGACCCTGTTGTGTGGTTGGAGAACCTGAATGGATGCCAGAGTCAGAGATCTTCCTTGGAGTTTTGAACACAGGTTGAGGATGGGTAGGGAGTCCCTACTTCTAAGTTTCCAAGGGCAGAAGTGCCAAGAAACTGTTCCAGCAAGACACGAGCTGACACAAGCTGAAGTAAAGTACGGGGCATGCAGGAAGTAGCACTAGCAAACCTGGTGTCTCATGCTAGCCTGACATGGGACCGCTTTATGCCATCTTCATTTATGTCAGTTCTGTAAAGAGAAAGCACAATGTTTGCTCTGGAAGAGATGAAAAATAAGGAGAAAAATCCCAAACAGCAACATACTTTAATACTTCAGTTAAAAAAATGTTTTAAAGGCTAAAATAGTTGGGTGTAATGGAATACACCTTAAATCCTAGCACTCAGGAGGAAAAGACAGGCAATTCTCTGTAAGTTCCAGGCTGGTCTGGCCTACATACTGAGCTTGAGGCCAGCAGGGGCTACATGGTAAGAACCTGTCTTTTTTTAAAAAGTCTAATAGTGGAAAGAAAAAAAAATGTAACCACTGGGTAAATGTTAGAAGCAACTTTGGTTTCATGAATTGCAATGTGGTTCCAAAGACAAAAATGGGAAGGAGGATAAAGTCAAATGATAAAACCATGTCCACTGGTGTGGAACCCAAATTCACAACAAAAACAAAGCAAAGTAAAATCCTGAAGCATAAAGAGATTTTTTTTTCTGCTGAAAACTTTTTGGAATTAGCTAGAAGAATAAAAAATAATTAAAGCTATGAATTTAATACAAATAAATTTTAATCTTCACTTTTGTTTAAAGGCTAAAAGTAATTAAGAATCTGAAACGAGAGGCTGGGCATGGTGGTGCATGCCTCTAATTCTAGAACTCGGGGGGCAGAGGCAGATGGATCTCTGTGAGTTCAAGGACAGCCTGGTCTACATAGGGAGTTTTCTAAGCCAGCTGGGGCTACAGGGAGACCTCGTCTCAAAAAACAAACAAACAAACAAACAAACAAAAACTAAAACCTGAAATGGAAATAATTAAATAGTAACTACAAAAATTATATGTGCATAAATAGATGTGCGCGCGCGCACACACACACACACACACACACACACACTGTATAGAAGTAGACTAAGAATATGTAAAAACCCAGGGATGACAATATTTTCAAGGTTTACTGATAAATGCAGATAAGTATTTTAAAAATGCCTAGTTGTTATGGTACTTTAAAACAACTCAGTAAAATGGAAGGAATCAATGAAGACAGTATTTTTCAACTGTGTGAACAGTTGTAGAATAGAGAGGACAGAGACACAAGTGAGGATTTGACTACTGAATACAGAAGCATGAATGCAGGGAATATTTGAATTCAGGAAATGTTATGAAATGGAATTCCTGGACAATCTCCACACTTAAGGAAATGAACTAGTTGTTGTTGTTGTTGTTGTTGTTGTTGTTGTTGGTAGTGGTGGTGGTGTGTGTGTGTGTGTGTGTGTGTGTGTGTGTGTGTAAAAGTCACACTTGAAGAGTGGGGAAGTGGAACTCAGGTAAATCCATCTCATGATCACTATGCTATTGCTGAATTGCACATATGGCTGGAGGAAAACAGTATTTTATTTTGTAAATTTTTAATTGAATTTTTGTGTATTTCATACAGAACATCTTAATCATCTTTGACATCTATTTGAAAATAAAGAGTAATCAAAATTATGGAAATACAAATTGGTATTAAATTCAAAGGGCATATCTTATCTAAGAAAGACTAACTACTGGATTAAAATCTTCTAATCATTGTTACCAATGCTAAAACCAATACTGTGGGCAGCAATAGCATTTATACAACATCCTTACAGCAAGGATTCAGTTACCTGTAACTGACAATCTTTCAGTTTTTCATTGATTCTAACAAGACCATGAAAAGGTTAAAAAACAATAAAAATGAAAAATTTCTCTTTTTAAGGGGAATAAAATTAAGACTCAAAGAAATGGCACTCTATAGATCATATGAAGGTCATTATTTCTTAGTAAAAGCTTCCATTTTAAGCACACTAAAAAGGCTAAAGAATATGTAAAAATACTGGAGCATATCTCTTCACTTCCATATAGCAAAGGAGATAACCAGTGAAAAATGCAATCACGACAGCACTGAAACACTGGCATCATTTTATACTTTTAATAGAGTGACTAAGCAATAAATATGAATCCAACAGAAAAACAGACCCACTGACCAGCCTAAGGAGAAAGCAAGCGTACAAAGACGTGTTGCAGACACATACTAGTGTTCAATGCATGCTATTTATAAAACAGAGAAACCAATAATAACCTAAATATCCACCAATACAGAAGCTTGTTGTTGTATTTGCAGAATTTAGCATATTGTCTACTACATGGCAAACACCACCCCCCGCCAATACTTGGTGAATGAACAGCACCATGAGTAAATTAAAATGGTACAACTGAATTTGATGAAAACATTAATGTTAAAAATTGTATTTATTTATTTTATTTTTATATGTATCAGTGTTTTTTCTGAATCCATGTGTTTTTTAAAATTGTATTTATTTTATTTTTATGTGTATCAGTGTTTTTTCCGAATCCATGAGCATCTATGACATGCAATGCCTGCATTGGTCAGAAGAGGACATCAGATCCCTTGGAAATGAAGTTACAGATGGTTTTTAGCTGCCATGTAGGTACTGGGAACCAGACCCTAGTCCTCTGCAAGAGCAGCTAGTGCTCTTGACCACTGAGTCATCTCTCCAGCCCAAACATTAATTTTTTAATGTAAAACCATATTCAATAACATAGAGTCCACAGTACTTTATTAAGTGATGAGACGGATTACTAACTGACCTACATAGTTCAACCCCAAGGACATAAAATCCTTTGTCTACTCATATATATGTATGAAGATTCCTAGGAGGACAAGACAGACAGGACTTTAATAATTTTCACCTTTTCCTTTGTACTTTTTAGTACTGCTTGAATTAAAAAAAATAGTGACCACATATTTTTTATTTGGTTGGCCTAATCTTTTAAGTGTTTACCCTGACAATTCATGCTTTAGAGGATGAAAATAATATCAACAGTTGACAATGAGTATAGATTTTAGACAGAATATTCTATGCTACAAGTTCTCTATTCTGTGAGTTACTCTTATAACATGCCCCAAACAGAATGAACAAAGGCACATTCATTTAATAACAGCTGCAACAGGTGCCCTAGTAGTATCACAGAAATATTTCACTATTTTTTACATTTTTTGTGCCTAACTCTGCTGAACCCAGTCTTGTTAACTTTCTGGCTAACCACCACAGCCCAAGGATGCTCTCCTGGGCTCTGACTCCATCCAAGTGAATTCACCATTGACAGTCTCCGTCTGTCAGCTCCATACACAAAGACCTCAACTATTTGATAAAGAAATATTGCTTTTCTTGAAAATTGGATTAAATTTGAAAGTAGATAGCCTGTATTAATAGCCAATGGTTTCTGATCATTTATTCTTTCAATCTAAGAGAAAATACAAGCATTGCCTGATCAACAAAAGCTAAGGGTCTCTTCTCAATTTCCATCAAGAGCAATGTGCTTCCTCCACTGGGGCACTGCCTGGTTACCACAGTGCTGGGCTGCGATTCTGGACAGCCTCTGAAAGCAGAGTCAGGGCCAACAAATCCTGTATCTATACACGTGTGCCCTGAAAAACCAGCCAAGTGTGAGAATGGCATAGAGAACACAGAGGGCCTGGTGACTGGCAAGCTTCTTCCTCTGGGTGCCATTTATCTGAATTACTGAAGTGTGGTGAAATTTACTCACGCCCGGCTGATGCACAGGTTCACCAAGCCAAGAGTAAGCTTTGTATTTTCAATCCTGCACAATCCAGCAAGGTGAAGGGCTGAAAGAAAACAGAGAAGTTTGCCAGCTAGATGCCTTCCTTGCAACTCCTGGGTACAGTATCAATCTGGCAGGGATGGGGGCTGCTGAAGGTAGCAGTGGCATGTGCCCAAGACACACACCATTCTAGGTACTTGAGGCTCAAGAGTGGCTGGACTGATTTAATGACAATGCTGTAAATACGTTTTTTTGTTTGTTTGTTTGTTATTTTGGTCTTTTTGAGACAGGGTCTCCCTGTAGCCCCAGCTGTCCTGGAACTCACTATGTAGATCAGGCTGGCCTTGAACTCACAGAGATCTCCCTGCCTCTGCCTCCTGAGTGCTGGGATTAAAGGCGTGCGCCACCACGTCTGGCTTTTTGTTTCTTTTTTTAAAGGCACATTTATATATGATGACAACTCTATTGGCATGTGTTCTGAGTTATATTTCCAGTGGCACAATCTTTGTAAATCACACTTGTTTGTTGACAGTACCATTCATTTACAAGACGCTGGCCAACCCAGTAAGCTGTGCTATCTGATTCTCACAGGCCACTGACATGGAACCCAGGTCGTAGCCCACGTTAGGGATTTGGCTCCATCTCAGTGATGCGATATGACCCCTTGCCTTGCTGCTGCCACTGCTGACTAGTTTTCCCTGATGCTGCTGTCATGTGCCTTGTCTACTAGAGCTGTCTACAAAGAGCCACAGCTATTTCCTGAGGGATATAAAACACAACAAACTGCAAATCAACAGCACAGAATATGACCTCATGCTGTCAGGCTGCTGTTTTTTCCAAACTGTAACATTGTGGCAGCTCCTTGATTTACAAGTATCACTTGACCCTCACTTCACTTCACCCTTATTCCTTCAATTGCCTAACTCAGTCCCATGGAGTCCCCCATCCCACCCAACTCAGATCCTGGCTCTCAGGCTCACAGGGCCACAACAGGTATTCTTAGCAAGTTCACTAACAACCTCTGATTCTCCCTGCTCTCAGCCCCCAGGTCTGACCTTTAACATTGTCAGCAGCTCCCCTCACCAGTCTTGACTTACTGCAACCACTCTCTTCCTTGTTTCAAGTAAAGGCTCAGAAACGGAGAGCAAGTCGCAAGTCACATGTCTCTCTCTCCTCCCTCCTTAGTCCCTTGTGGGGTCTCTCCCTCTCCTCGCGGGTCATTGGCCACTGGTCCACGAGGACAAGGGGAGCAGAAGCGACGAGTGGGGTCAGGACGGCCAGTGAGCACTGACGGAAGAAAGCCCTTCCAGGGAGGCAGGTTCAACGATGCAAACAGCTCTAGACTCAGTGAGACAGCTCTAGATTCAGTGAAACAGCTCCGTTTATTCAGTGGGAGAACTAGGGAAAATATAGTGTGGAGGCAGTAGCCAATGCCTCAGCTGATAGGTGCTCATAGTATGCTTTATTTATATGTGGTAGTGGGCTCCTATCGTCCGACTACCAGGCAATGCCTGATTATCATATAGAAAAAACCTGGGGGTAGTTTTTACTCTAGGTAACTATGCCAAAGGTCATGTTCCAAATAAGGTCAGGCATCCATGCTTGGTGGCACTTTCCAGGTAAGTCAGGAAGAGAGCAAGAGGCCCCCTGCTGAGAAGGGGAGTCCTTCCATTTGGCGCCGAGCCCCTTAGAGCTATCCAGACATGGAGGACTACAACCCTAACAGCAGGGTTTCCCAACAGTCCCTCACATCCAGCTTGCCACCAGTAATTCTGAAGATTCAGTGTTATACTTTTCACCAAAATGCAGATAAATAAACCAAAATTCCACAAAGAGCCTGTAAATTCTAGTAAACTCTATATACAAGGTGCCGGTATGGGCATGACCATGTTATTTCTTTTCTGTTTCCTGTTCAAGTCTTATTCCAATGTATAAGTCCTTCTGCAATCTGGACTCAAGAGAGTCTCCTTCGTGACAGTTTCTGAAATCAAAAATTCTTTCCTCTCAACCTATCTTTAAAACATAGTTCTTGGGGCTGGAGAGATGACTCAGTAGTTAAGAGCACTGGCTGCTCTTGCAGAGGAACTGAGCCTGATCCCAGCACCAACCTGGTCTGTAACAACCGTCTGTAAGCCCAGGTCCAGGGGAATCCAATGCCCTCTCTGCTGACCTTTCCTGGCATGACACGAGTGTACTTACATGCAGGCAAAACACTCATACACATAAAATTAAAATAATAAAATGTTTTTTAAAATAAATAAGTAAAATAAAATATAGCTTTTGGACAATTTTCTCCAGGACCCTCACCATAGTATAACTGAACTTTCACCATGCTTTAACCCATAGGCAGAATTTTAGTCTCACAGAAACATACACTGCAAAGGGTCTTTATGGAGTTTCCAGTTTTCTGTTTCTTTACCGTCAAACTTGTGCTTGTTTACTCAGTTTTCAAATTTGTGCAAGTAGGGAATCATATGACCAACTGGTTTGAACTCATTCCTGATGACAGCTCCACCTTCCCAACTCTTTCAAATACTCAAATAAAACTTTAAAATCTTATTCCCACACACTCACTCTTGGTGTCTCCTCCAGAGGGCCTGGAGATTAGAGAACTATCAAAAATATTTAAAAGTCTCATTTCAACTCAGGAGTAAGAGACTCATCCACTTCTGACAAAAGCAGCTTAAGCATCAACTCTGGACACCCTAGAGTTATTTTCTTCAGCCCACAAACACAAGAACATTACATGACCATGACACAAGCTTGGAAGACATCCCATAGCTATCAGATGATAGATGTTTTCATTGGTTTCTGCTTAAATCAGGGCTATTAACAGCAGCAGGATACTGAACAAGACCCCTCAGCATTAGATTCAAATTGTGTCTAACAAGGCTCACTTTATAAATCTCAACTACTTCCTACTGAAGAGATGCTGTGTTCAGACAGCACAGCATCTCTTCAGTAGGAAGACAGCCCTGTTTATACATTGTATGTTTATATTCCCTTTAAAGATAAATGATACTTTTATAAAGAATGAATTGCATATGAAATACTATCTGCTTTGTCAAGATGCCGAAACACACACTCATTTAAAATATACAGAACAAAACCACCAGCTACCAATACTTCTTGCAACCCAAATAAGTGACATGCAAATTTCTCTTTTGGATAGTAGGGTGTTAATGAGGAAACTGAAATTAATATATGTTAGGAAATGACCTGGGAAACAGAGTTAGTGCAACATAATAAACGTACTAATATATCTACTATGGAGCTTCAGATACTTAAATTTTGATTTAAATTATGACATAAATATTATATGTATAGCTAAATTAGAATGATTTCACTAAAGGGGTTCACTCATTCACTCAGTGACTATGTACTGACAGGTACTTTGACATAGGGGAATACAAAAGACCCTGTCCAAGCCAGCTCAGAATCTCAGGAAAAACAGATACACAATAATAAAACAACAACATGGCAAATATCATAACTACTAAAATGCTATGCTTGGAAACATCAGCATCCAAGAAGCTGATTAATCATACAACAGATGAGGTAGAGATTGATTTATGCCAACCAGAGTTATCTCCACATTAAAAAGCAATACATTATTTGAACTTAATTATATTAACAACAAACCATATCACATAGAAAAGGATCACAAAAAGAAAAACGTGTGGGGTTAACCATGTTTGACGCTGGAAAAAGGAGCAGAAAGATGTTAAAGAAAAACTGTCTTTTTACTTTCTATATTTGTGTATTGTCTGATTTAAAAAATAATTTATGTTTGTATAATGCTTGAATAATGATGAAAAATACTGATTGAAGTGGGAGTAAAGGAGGAGGTGGTGAAGCAAACTGAGATGGATAAGCCTGAGATGGATGTCCAGAAGATGGAGGGTCACAGGAACCAGGGAAGGACAGAGCTGATCCCTCCACACCAGGACCCCTCTCTGAGGGTAAGGAGGATAAGGACCTCTGACCCAGGATGCGGCTGTGTCCATCAGTGAGATAGCAGCAGTGGAGACACCACTGCAGCAGTCAAACAGGATGTGGGTTAAGAGCAGCAGGGCAGACCAAATGCCACAGGACAGGTAACATACCTGAGCAAGCCGACCTGGGAACAAGTGAAACTCTGCCACTGCCTTTGTTTCTTTCACATTTACAAATATGTGCAGAAAAATACTTGTCCATTTCAAAAAACTATGTCTAACATGTTTAAGAATGACGACCAACACTTGTGGCCAGAGACCACAACTGTGGGGACCCACAAGGAACAAGACAGAGCCCAGCAACTATTTATGGGGAGGTCCCTACGCAGGTAGGTCAGTCTCAGTCTTGCCTGCCAAGAGACTGCCTTAATGTTGCCAGATAACCCTATTTAAAAACAAACAAACAAAAAAACCCCATAAATCTAGATTTTTTTTAAAAGTGCAAAATATCTTGATTTTTAAATGCTGGCTCATTTTTTTAAAAAAGTCTAGCAAAATCAAAACATGTCTGTAGGGCTGGAGAGATGGCTTAGGAATTAAGAGTACTGGCTGCTCTTGCAGAGGGCCCAGGTTCAGTTCTCAGGAACCCACATGGCGGCTAACAACCATCCATAACTCCAGTTCCGGTGAATCAAACACCTTTTGACCTCTGTGGGCATTGTATGACATGAGTGCATTTACATATGTGCAGGCAGTACACTCATACACATAAAAAAAAATGTCTGTATGCCACCTCTAGTTTTGAGACTTCCTAAAGTCTTGGTATAGATTAGAAAATGTCAGATTAAAATATCAGATGTAGGGGCTGGAGAGATGGCTCAGTGGTTAAGAACACTGGTTGTTCTTGCAGAAGACCCAGGTTCATATTCCAGCACCCACATGGCAGCTAACAACTGTCCATAACTCCAGTTCCAGGAGATCCAACAGCCTCTTCTGACCTCTGCAGGCATTGCACGACACAGGTGCACTTACCTCCATGTAGGCAATATATGCATATACATAAAATTAAAATTAAAAATAAAATTAAAAAATCAGATGCAGTTTCCCTTACTCTTCCCTTTTTAAGAAT